TATATATATATATATATATATATATATATATATATATATAACCAATCACTATTTAAGAACAAAGCTAATTCAATTGAGACAATTAATAAAAATGGATAAGGAAAAAAAAATAAATGTTAAATAGGTCAAATCCAAATGCATGATCTTAAACAAAAATCCAAGATACACGTGGCCTTTATGTGTTGACCACTCTTTTGTTTTTTTAAACGGGTGACAAGTCGTTTGTAGTGGTACTAGAAAACTTGTCACTTATTATTATATTTTTTAATTACTTTTAATAATTAAAAAATCATGATCTAAGTTTCTAAATCTAAAATCTTATTTTTTTTTTAATCTTATCTTATACTTTGGCTTTTTTTGTTAAAGTTTTTATTTTCTTAATAATTTTTAATTAATTAATCATTAATTTAGGCATAGAAAGTTATGATAAAAAAAAAAGATTAATGACAAAAATGAAAAAAAAGGGCTACTCTAAAAGTGTCTTATGCGTCGTTTTAGTATATTTTGTAATGTAATTACAATATTCTTAGAACAAAGGCTTTGATTTCATTCTTGAACAAATATTATTAAAAAGGATGACATGCACACATCTAGCTTTCGGTAACCAAAGAATTTATTCAAAAAAACGAAAGAAAAATATAAAAAGTGACAGCAATTGATTAAAGATTACAACCATCAACATTTTAAACAATATCTTCAGCCAGATAATCATGTTTTTTTTTAAAAAAAAAATTTATTTAAAGTTATGTTTAATATTTTTAAATTATTTTAATATATTGATATTAAAAATATTTTAAAAAAATTATAATTATAATTATAATTTAATACATTTCAGAGAAAAAAAAACATTTTAAATTATAATTGCTTTTAATTTCCATTAACTGGGATTTGAACTTGAATTAAGGTGTTTTATTGGTCAAATATTATATTTATGATGACCTTATAAGCTTTCCATATAAGGGAATAAGAGAGAGTGCGGCTGGGCTGGCTAGCTGGGACATATCACATCCAAGAGAGAAGGCACAAGTGGGTGTGTTGTGCTGGTAGGAGATCAAAGGGTCCGCAGTTGAGAGGCTTTTTTGAATAAGGGTTGCTTACTGTTTCTTTTTTCTCTTTTCTTTTTTTAGGGGACCACCCCAATAATCGAGATAAAATCACAAGAATTTCTATTTGTTGTTGACATTATTATTCCTGTCTAATCTAACTTGTTCCTATTTCTATATGATTTTTTTTATTTTTTTATTTATTTTTGTGTGTTAGGAAGTAGTGGTTGGTAATTGTCTCGATGGTGCCATGCATCCACCGTCCAAAATGCTGTAAGGAATGGGGTAGGGATGGCATCTATATATATATATATATATATATATATGCATGCCATCTTCTCAGGATAATTGATTAAAGCAAGCAGGGCTCTCAACATGGCGTGAGGAAGCTTAGATTTTCCTTAAAGAGGGTGATGGCTATAATGATTTTGCAAGTATCTGTTATCCAGGTTTCCTAGTCAGCAGGACCATTCTGCAAAACCACATGAATGAATGAATGATAATCAGGCAAGAAGTTCTGAACAGTTTGATTAAAGCAACAGTGGAAATTTATTAAATGAATTGGCAGAGTAACCAATGTCAAAAAAGCCAAGAGCAATAGATGTCCAAGGTATCTACAAAAATCAATCTATAGAAAAAGGGATGTTAACAAGGCTGTTACAAATACAGAAGTCATCAATGACAGGGTGAGAGAGGAGGAAGATGAAGCTACTATCTGGATGGTGAAATTGCAGTTCCCTTGAGAAATATTCTGTTCGGTAACCGTGGCCAAGCCCTCGAAATTACAGGCGAATTCATCCTGGTTTTGCACCTGGTAGTACATATTGAATGCATATGAAGCATTCCCATTGGTGTCCAGGCCATTACAGGAAGAGCCATATCCAAGTGCCGTGCAATCTGAACGGGAGCAGGCATAATTTATGTTATCTGCAAGCTTGCTAAGATCCTTGGCGTTTGGATTAAACATGCACCATCTTGACGGTAGATATTGAACATTCTGCGCACCCACTAGCCACTTGTTTGCAACCTGACCAGAAAGATCCATAGGAAACTTAGGCTGCCCATCATATCGAAAGATTCCCCAATGGCGCTCAAAATTCCCAGGAGCGATGCTCTTGGCATCCTCGTCAAGAAGACCAAACAAGTAAACTTCTATGTAGCCAGGCCGAAGTGGGGTGCCTCTGTTGCCAGCAAGTCGTGGTAAAAGCCCATTGTAAAACCTAATAGCATTACCTATGTTGGCATTCTTGTCCCCATCTGTTGGCCAGCCTACCTCACCGACTACAATGGGCATATCCCCATGGCCCGCTGCTTTCAGGGCCGAGACCAAGGTGTCGAAGTTGGCATCAAAAACATTGGTGTACTGAATCCCAGTACCTCTATCTACAACAGGTTGAGGAGCCCCGTCAAAGAAAGCATAATCAAATGGGAAATCGTCGTTCCCATAGAGACTCAAGAAAGGATAGATGTTCACAGTGAAAGGTGCATTGTTCTGAGCCAAAAACTGAACAATCTCGGTCATAAGGTCATTAATATCACTGCGGAATCTTCCAGAAGATGGATAAGCTTGGTCATCTGGGGAGTTATAGACGTCAGCATTAAGGGGTACAGTGGCCTTTATGGAGTCTCCAACCCCAGCATCATTGAGGGCATTTTGTATGTTCCGAAGTGCGGGGAAGGTAGTGTTTAAGAATGAACCATTGTAGGATTTGAGAAAAGGCTCATTACCAACTGCTACATACCTGTGAAGAGACAGCAAATATATAAAGCAATGCAGAAGTTAATAGTGAGCTTTCATTCTCAACAACACTGGACAACGGCAGCATAAAATGTAGTATTTAAAACCATATAATGAAAGTAAACCTTCCAATTTATATGCTATGAAATGAGATAATGGGTTGCTGAATTTGCATAAATTCCTCCATTCAACAGACAATCCATTGAATGCAGATAGATAAAGAATTCAAACACAACACACACATACACCACATACAAGGAACAAGTACTGTTCCATCCCTTGTAGTTTTAAGAAGATAGACATGTAAAATTGAATTTTTCAACCAAGTATCGATATGGAATTAAGAAACAAATCATGATGTTCTGGAGCTCTAATACGCAACTCCAGATGCATTCTCACAGAAAATACAGCACAAAATATGAATGTCAAAACAGCAAATCATTCAGAAAAGGAATTTCCTGAAGGAAAAAAATGGATATTCTATTTTCTGGTTCTTAAAATTCATCACAAGAATAGAAAATGTAAGGTAGAATTTTAAATAAGAACTACAATGAACTTAAGTGGCAAACAGGGCATTAAGTTGAGGAACTCTACTACGGACTCCTTTCAATTTAATTCCCACGTCTCATCAAGCATTGGATATGGAGAAATTGTGCAAACAAGTCTTGCAGAACATTTAATTCTTTTGTGCTCCTTGTATCCCATGCCAATTGGCTTTTGGCGTGGGCAAGGTTGCCATCTTTTTTCTCCTTTCCAATGCAAAGTTCTCTCAAAAAAGTATGCCACCGAGAATATGATTCTCCAATAGGTTTTTGAACGCGTACTAGAAGGAAACCAAAAGTTCATACAGATTAAAGTCGGAGGAGTGCTTGGTAAGAATCCAAAGCCTAATCTCCCATTTTATTTTCCTAGAAACACTAAGCATATGCTATCATATTCTACAGAATAGATACGCAGGTATAGCTCTGAGTATTAAAAAGAAAATGGAATGCCTACCTTTTTTTTTATTAAGAAGTAAAACTCAAACGCATCTCATTAATTCCTACCAGGCTGTTAGCTTCTCCAATTAAAAAATCCCAACTACCATCTTACTGGAGATTCAAGAACCAAGCCAGCATTTTAGCAAGTCCAGCTGTGAGGCCATATTATAAATTTAATAGTTGAATCTTGATACATCAAGAATATTACGCAAGCTTATCTTTTCCTAACAATGGATGGGATAAGAGAAGCTGAAACTCTCTGACAAACGTAATAAATTATAACGATAAGGCCATAACTTCATCCAAAATCAATAGAATTATCAAAAGATATCCAAAACAATAATCACAACTCTTACTACAAACCCGCATTTTTAAATTTCTTGAGCACAAATTTGAACTTGAGAAATCAATTTAAAGTCAACTCCTAGAGAACAGCAACTTCTCAACCGCGTTAATGATGCCTTGGGAGGTCATGATTACCAGTTTATTAAGAAAAGGCAAACAACTTTTACCTACAACAAAAACGACAAACTCCTAATTAACAGAAAGATTTTACTTGGACAGAAGAAATTAACTTCCTAGACGGAAACTACTACAGTACAATAGCTTCTCGTGCCAAATAATTGATATTGACAATTTTCCTACACACAAGATGAACAGCTAGATCAGCTTCCAGGAAATTATGAAGTTCAATACCAACCAAGATAATCATGCCACCATATTGCAATCCTAACTTGGATATGGATTTCTTCCATCGATTTAAACTCCATTGTTTATCTTGATGATAGAAACTCAAATTCAAAACCAATCAATCAAAAATAAAAATTACAGAGAGAGAGAACTCTGAACTTACTTGATGGTAACTCCTCCGTTAAAATTATAACGAGTCACATTCCTCTTTACCCAATCTTTAGCACGATTATAATCACCCATCACAGCAAGCTGGTCATTAGGAATAGCAACCATAACTTCAATGCCAGTACCAGCAAGTGAATTCATTGTATTTTGGTCTGCATCAAAAAGCTTCACTTTTTGGATCCCATTATCCTTCAACATTTCAACAACTGTTTCTGGTGGCAATTTACGTATAGCCATAGTTCCCCAATTAACACCAAGACCATCAACACAATTCTCTAAAAGGCCTAAAACCAAAACCAATTTGAGAAACCAACAGGTGCCCATTTTTAGTTTTGGTTTCCAAGTAAAAAGAAGAACTCAAACAGAAGACAAGACAAGACAATGCAAGTAAAGTCGAAGGGTTTTTGTTTATTGCTGTAACTGAAAACTCAGTTTCTTTCCTTTTTTTTAATTAATGAGAAAGAGAGGGAAGGCAACGTTTTTTGACAAGTGGATGCACTAAATCAACAAAAAACTAGCGATTTACGGGACACGATTCTGAGATCGTGATTTTTATGATAGTAGGAGAGAAACATGCAAGAATCCCATGTATATTTCAAAACTGAAAAAAAATACAACAAGGAAAAGAGAGAGAGAAAAAAAAGAATATAAATATGAAGCAAAACCCGAAGTGTAAAAGAAACAAACTTTTTTATACCCTTTTGGGGTGTGAATAAAGAGAGAATCAATAACCAAGAATCCACCTTTTACTTGAGAAATTAAAGAAACAGAGCAAGTGGAGATGAACAGAAAGATTGATACTTTATTACGATTAAAAAGAATTAACTACCAAAGAGAACGAATTGATGGGTTTTAGAAGATGGGTTTTGAAGGAAACAAGTAAAACCAAAACTTAATAGTGTGGAAAGATCAAAATCACTGGATTTCAAAAACAGGGGATTTTTTATATGCTATCCTTTTAGGGGGGAAAAGGATAGGAATAGATAGGAGTGTACAATTAGAAAAAGGAAACACACAAGAAATTCCACAACCTTCTGTTTTCAATGTGATGCGTATTATTTTAGTTGAGTCAGAACAAAATACAAAAGAGACAACAGAGATACAGATGGTTTTTGACAATGAAAAGGTTGAAGGAGGAGAACAAACGAGATAACAGAGAGACAGGCGGTTTTTGACAAGGACAATGTGAAAGACTCAAAGAGGGGGAAAGGGTTTTTTTTAAAAACAAATATCTTATTAAATTAAAAATTTTATTGGAGTAATATAATTTAAAAAAATTTAATAAAATAATATATTTTTATCTTGTTAAACTTTAAAATAATAATATTTAATATGTTATGTTTTTTATGTGTGAAAATTATTAATTGATTTACTAATCAGATATAGTTATATAATTAGTTGATTATTTCATTCAAAAACTATAATTTTATAAATTTTATTTAAATATATCTTATGAGTAAAAATGCATATACTCCAACTAAAATTTTTAAATAATATAAATAATTTAATAAATATATTTATAAATTAATAAGAGTCTAAAAAAATATTTAATTGTGTTATATTAAAATGATAATTTAAAAAAAAACATAATATTTTATTCGAATCGATGAATTACGTTTAAATTTTTATAGAAGTTTTTTTTAGAATGAACATAAAAACATCATCCAATTTTTATATTTTGACTGATTTTGGTTTTGATAATAATGTGATTTTTTTTATGAAAGATTGGTTTAATAAATTAATTGAGTTATTAATTCTAAATTTAAATAAATATGAATTAAAAATCTCTCATGATTCTCAACCACATCATCTAAAAATATCCATTCTTATTAAAACTTTTGACGTAAATATTTATTTGCATTTCACATTTTGAGTGCATAATTCTGCGGAGGGGGGAGCCAACAAGGAAATGGGAAGGCACCAGCCACCAAGGGAATCTGTGAGGACACCAGCTTTCTCTGATAGGTTTTGTCTCGACCTGGTATTATATTGAAGGATGGGCTCCTAACGGCTAGAATTTTTAATTTTAGCTGTTTTTGTAAAGATTTCTAAAAACAGTGGTAGCTAGCAAGGGTCCTGCCTCCTATCAAAATGAAAGAAATGAACGCATAATTATGGCATTGATTCCAATTATTAATTATTAAGATGAATAGTGTGTTTGAATTATAATTGTGGTTGTTTTTTAAAGTATTTTTTTATTTAAAAATATATATTAATAATATTTTATATTTTTTTTAAATTATTTTTAAAATTATAACATCAATTTAAAAATATCAAAAATATATTAATTGAAAATAAAAAAATTAATTTTTTTATAAATATTTTTAAAATATACTGCCAAATATATTTTTTAAAAATTATTACATGACAGCATCTCTGATGAAAAAGCTAAAAAGAATTAAATTTTTTAATTGTTTTTTTTATTTACGACAAAACCTAAAAAGGAGTTAGAATTATTTTTTTATTAAAAAAAAGTTATTTTTACATATCTATTAAAATAATGATAACATTAAAACAAAACATTTAAAGATTTATGTTTTTATCGATTAAATTTTTTTTCAAAAGAAGCCAAATTATTAATATTGAATAAATTAAACTATGAATTTTTTTTATTGGAGCAATGGAATGAACATAAAAAGAAATATATATTTTTATTATTTAAAAAATCATATTAACAATTTTAACTCTTTTAAATAATATTATCCGGGATGGAAATATTACAGCCCCAAACATCCACATTAATTAAAACTTAATTGAGATATACGTAAATTGACCTGAACTTTTATATTAATTAAAAAATAATTATTTTTATTTTTTATTAGTTCTTCAAACTTTTTTTACCACCTTAAATCTACTAGCATGCTAACTCCTTATCCCCCAATCAATCTTTTATGTTGGGTTATTATCTTAATAAAAATAAAACTAAAGAAATAATTATAGAGTAAAATCTTAATAAAATTTCAAAAAAAAAACATCAAGTAAAAGAAAAGAAAATAAAAATGTATTTTTTATAGAATTATATTAAAAAAATCAAATATAGGATTAACTAAAAAATTCTCAAATAAAAGTATTAATGCTACAACTATGTCATAAATTGCTATAGCTTCCATAGAAAGTAACGAAGTACCTCATATTTTTCCCTAGCAATACCCTCTACAGCTTGGCTCGCAGTAATTCCTTCACCAACCCTAGTTCCGATGAAGCAAGCCCAACAAAAATAATAAAAATGACATAAATGATGGATTTATGATAAGTTCCTAACATTAAAAAAATAAAATAATTAATGACATAACCAAGCAATAAATTATGACCTAATTATTCCATCTATAATATTTTAAAAGAGCTTCCAATTTAAGTAACAGTATTATTGAATTATTAAAACTATTCTGATATTTATTTTATAGCTCCTATTCATATAGTTTTTGTGAATTCATATAATTTTTTTATTTTTCCATTTCTTTCTTTGATATGAACATATAACTAGCCTAATATATATATGTCTTATTTGTATCTCGAGTTTGGTCAGATTTTAAAACAAATTTTATATATAAAAAAAATTGACTTATAATGATTATATATCACATATTCCTAGTTTGATCCCACACTTTGATGAAATATTCTCGAACTTTCATTTTTTATAGACCCTTATCTTTCTTTTATTTAATTTAGCATTATCTCACATGGAAATAGTCAATCTAAATTGGAGAATTCTTTAGTCTAAATCAGTGCATAGAAATATAAGTTTTAAATTGATCTAAATTCATGCAATTTATTTTTTATTAATATTTATTTTTAGTTTATTTTTTAATTGAATAGAATCAATTGAAATGGAAAGCGCTCTATAGAACCTAATATTTTTTAGTATTTTAGTAAAAAGATAAATAATTTTTATTCAAATTATAACTTTTAAGATTGGAATTGAATGAACAAAACAATCAAGATAATATAAAATAAATATTCATTTGAAGAAGTTAGGAATGAGCAAAACAAATTTGAGGGAAAATATCTAAAAAGCCTCTTTTCTTTTCTTTTTTTTATAACTCCCTAATATCATAATCATTTTTGCTATTCTTCCATCCCATGGATTTTTTCTTCTTCTATTTATATATATAGACATTTGTTTTTGTCTATTTATATGAATATTTATGTTTACAAAGAAAATTATCTTAAATAAAGCATAGATTACCTTACACTAAGCTAAAAAAGACTATTTCAAAATTTATTCAACAATGAAAAAAATCAAGAAATAACCCCTCATGTGCAAATTATAAAAGATCCCCTTTAAGATCAAACAATTTAACCAAATTGAGTATAATTGTATGTATAATAATATCTATTATATCATGAATTTTAATGGGCCTGATTATTGACATTGCTCAAGGAATATTAATGAGCCTGATTATTTTTGACATTTCTCAAGATATCAAACAATTTTTTCAATGTAGCTTTTCTTTGATTTTTATAAGTTCATTTCACACCAAACAATAATTCTGATATACATTCTCATTTTTTAAAAAAAAAAATCATCCAAGCATATTTAAATAAAATTGATGTTTACATATCAATCCTCTCATTGCTACATCTCATTCAAGACTAGGATTAGACATGTTCAGATATTTTTTTTTATATGGATCTTTCTTTTTATTTGAAATTCTATTATTCTATTATAAATTTTTTTTTATATTGAAATATTTAAACAAAAAATTTCTAATATTATATTAAAAAAAATATCATTTATTTTTAAACACAACGTATATATACCAACGAATTTTTAATTCTAAATTAAAAAAATAAAACCTTCTTTTAATATTCATATAGTAAATTTTCATATAAGTTAATAATCAATAAAAAAAATGATAAACTTAAACACTTAATTAAAATTAAGTTAAAAAAAAAACCTTGAATTGTTCCTCAGCTAACATCTATATTTTTTATAAACATAAAAATAAATAAATCCTATTAAATTTTATGACATCAATTAAAAGTATAGATTTTGCACACTTCAAACCCAATCAAGATCCTAAGTTAACCATCTAGGTGGTGGCCAAGTAGTAAGGATTTGGGATCAAGGGGTTTGCTCCCTCTGTGGTCTCAGGTTCGAGTCCTTAGTTGCTCATATGATAGCCACTGGAGGCTTACATGGTCGTTAACTTCAGGGCCCGTGGGATTAGTCGTGGTGCACGCAAGCTGGCCCGGACACCCACATTAATCTAAAATAAAAAAAAAAGATCCTAAGTTATCGAATCCTAAATTAACTCGATAAACCATGCCAATTAACTAAGTAATTTAAATTCAACCAAGTTAATATCTCAACTAATTTTAAAATAAAATCAGATCCGAGCGATTTTGTAAATTACGGTCTAGCCTGCCCCAGTTTAATAAAAATATCCTTGTATAAAGTGATTTATCACGTGGCAATGGCGTGACTCCCCCTCGGTCAAGAAGAGTCTGACAACGCACGGTGGCTTCAATAAAAACTGGGAACTGGTCGGAGGTGACGATGACAAATAAGCACGGGAGCCAAGGCTATCAACCATTGGCTAATTATCATCATTTTTATTTTTTTATTCAATTCTTTATTTATTTTTTATTTTCCTCCTTAATTATCAAACTCTATATTTCTTTTTTTTTTGCCCTTGTCAGTGGCACACCTATGGTTTAACGGTGACGTTTCCCCACTTTCCATGGCCCTGAAGAGGTCGGTCACCGACAGAACGTATGAGATGAGGACAGGTGGATTGTTGCCTTTGCGGGTTTGCAAAGCGATTATTCCTCTTTTCCCACTTTTCAGAAGATTGGAGAAAGAAATTATTTTTTTTTAATGAATAGTATTTATGAATCTTACGATGCCTTGCTTTGCTAAATTTCACAGATGTGAAATCTAGACCGGTCTGCCGGGTCAATTATGATTCCTGCTAACTCGAGGCTAGGACCAATATGGGTTAAAAAAATAATTATAAAAAATAATAATCTAATTTACTTTATTAAAAATTTAGCTTGGCTTCTGATTGGGTCGATCCAAATCTAATATAGTTAAGATTTAAATATTAAATTGTTGACTTTTTGAATTTTTAATTGAAAACAACATTATTTTTATCATTTTAAAAAAATAGGAATCAATCCTCCAAATCTTATCTCTTCATATGATTTGTAACTCGAATTTTATGATTTGGATTTTAAAATTACATTCCAATTTATTATTAGTAATGTAGTGTCATGTAGGCCTATTTATTTCTGATTTTAAAAGTATTTTTTAAAAATTAATTTTTTTATTAAATTCAAATTAATATATTTTTAGTGTTTTCAAATTATTTTGATGTGTTAATATTAAAAATAAAAAAATATTATTAATATATATTTTAATATAAAAAATTATTTAAAAAATAAACTTGAACGAAGTCGCCCATCATAGATCTTCATGCCAAAGCCTACCCAGCAGCTTGATGAAAACATGGAACATCTTATTTATTTCCAGGGAAAATCTTGTGAGATTAATTCGATGATCAATAGGTTTTATTATCTTTTTTTAATTTCTCCGGTTCAAATCTTGAATTCACTTACAACATAATTTATCTTGCAAATAATCTTATTTTTATCTACTTTATACTCAATTAGACTTTGTTTCACAATCAAGAATGATAATAGTATTAGTATATTAAAATAATATAAAAATAATAAAAAATATTAATTTGAAGTAATAAAAAATAAAAATTTTATTTTTTTTAAAAAAATAATTTTAAAACATAAAAAAAAGACAAATAAACTATATTATGAAATGGATTTTTCATTTCTATCCTATTCCGATGTATATTTTAGGGTCGGCCTACCTCCCGGAGAGGGGAACCCACCTCTTCTTCTGTCGAAGGGGACCCAGCCAGGGGGGGCTAACTCGAGCAGAGTCGCTGGGTCAGCCTAGGTCTTGACCTCACCGACCAGCTGCTGCATGGAGGCATGGAACTCTGAAGATCGAGTGAAGGGTTGCTTTCTATAATGGAAAAGCATTTAAATAATTCAAAATCACAGATTTTGTGAGAGAATCAACCGTCTTGTCTCTGTCTGCACGAAGCTATATTATGAGTTTAATATTATATAAACAACTTTGAGCTTCTAGGTTAAGAGATCTTCTTCTTCTTCTTCAACACCTTCATTTTCTACCCTTGGCTTTTAACTATGTAAAATTAATATGGTTTTGATGGACGTCCAAGTAAAAATAATAATAAAAAAAAACTTAAAATCTCAAGTTTATGTATAGTTTGTGTTAAGTGCAAATATGTGTTTGAGATTGTAATGAATTGAGAGTGCGATAAAGTTTAATTTTTATTTTTTTATTTAAAAAAATATTAAAATAATGTTTATTTTTTAATTTTTAAAATTTGTTTTTAATATTAATACATCAATTTAATATTGCTAAAAAAATAAAAGTTAAAAAAAATTAAAAGTACGATCGGATTGTAATGCTAAACTACAGTTTATTTTTTTAAAAAAATTATTTAAAAATACATTAAAATATTTTTATATTTTTTATATCAATATATTAAAATCATAAAACAATACTAAAAAACCACCGACTTAATAATTTTTTCGAAGCCAAAAATATTTTAAAAAATCATCTAAAAACAAAAACATAAACATTCCCTAAGCACTTCTTAAAAGAAGTGAGATTGGGCTCTGGGTGGGGGTGGTGGTTTCGATTAAACACAAAGTAAAGGGCGATTTTCTTGAAGATATATTAAAATATTTTTTATATTTTTTATTAATATATTAAAATTATGAAAAAATACTAAAAAACCATTGATTTAATAATTTTTTCAAGCCAAAATTATTTTAAAAACACATCTGAAAACAAAAACAGAAACATTCCCTAGGCACTCCTTAAATGAAGTGAGATTGGGCGGTGGGTGGGGTGGTGGTTTCGATCAAAAGCAAGCGGTGATTTCCCTTTTCTTTTATCTTTGTACCTTTCTATGGCGGGTTTTTGGCTACACAATTTGGAACTATAAATCGATGTTCTCCGGTTGCTTCTAACTAGGCTTGCGCGTGGCGTGTTGCTAGATTCCGGTGAACATCTACAACATGGGATGAAAAAAAAAATGGAATCAAGTTCTTGTCAGACCATCCTTCTAAACCAGAACCGAAACCATCAAAATTAGCATACCCAGAAAGAATAAAAAAGCAAGATACAAGAACAAATCAACCTAAAATGCATGCGTGCTTAAGTGATAGGCGGCGAAGTCTCAATGCCACCTTTTAAATGAATCAAGATGATCTGCAAGAAGAGAAGGTGGGGGGCTAGAGAAGGAGAATGGAAAGATGCGGGGGAGGTTTTTGTGAAAATTAAGGTCTGTGTGTTTTAAGGATGATTTTGGAATATTGTTTTTAATATCAATTTTAAGGAAATTGCAGCAGCAAATTAGAGGGTCTTCCTTTCATTTGTTTTTAATCATTTTTGGAATTCAAATCAATACATTTAAAAGAATTTCAAACTGAAAAATTGATATAACTCTTGAAATTAAATTAAATCTTAAAAATTACAAGTAATCTATTAATGCTCGATCGACCAAGCATGGAAGATGACATTCTTCAAAAAGCAAAAAAAAAACATCGTGCCTATTTAGGTACTCTATAGCAAATTAAATTATCAAACCATTTCGGACCATAATTAAGTTGGGTAATTTTTTTTCAAAAATTAAATAGATTAAATCAAGTTTTAACTGGGTTAATTAAATACCAAGATAATTTACTAATTCATATTAGATTAATTTTCACCCAGCTGAAGTTAAAATCCAACTTAAACCATAAGCCGGGTCGAAAAGTTATTGTTATACTTGAAACGGTTGATATTTTTTATTTTTAAAATCAAGAATGAAAGATTTTTATTGTTTATCCACGCATATATAAGATTTTCTTATTTAATCTTCTTTTAAAATTTTAATATTCTGTTAATTAATCATTATTATTATTATTCTGCTTAAGAAGATAAATTACTTATTTATGAAGTCCGGCGGGACATTGCATGCATGCAATCAAATAGAAAGTCTAACAAATAGAAGATAAATAAAAAAAAAAAAAAAAAAAATAGAAAGTCTAACACGGCTAGCCAAATATTACAGGCTAACGATTTAGCACATCGCTAGCCCCAAGGAAGATCACAGGCTTCCCAATTCTACTGTAGAAAGACTATGCTGATTTAACCCAACGTTTATAAAGCAAGGTTGTGAATATCGCTATGATTAGCATCCCATTTATCATCTTAAAATAATATATATATATATATATATTTATTTATTTATTTACGTAAATGTTTAAACCAGCTGTCTGCACCAGCTGTCTGCAGCACGATTAATTATATGGTTCACTGAATATTCACCAGCTGTCTGCAGCACGATTAATTATATCGATTAATTATATGGTTCACTGAATATTATGTAAATTCAATAAACATGTAAAACACCACAAAAATAACAGACATGCATAATAAAACTTGAACTCGAATGCAGAGAAAGGAAACAAGTCCCTCCCACTACTAGGCTAAGATATGTCTTGATTGCAGAGCATTTTGATGTCCTATTCCAGGGATTTGTATTGTGTGGGTGTGTGTCATATACATACATACATACATATATATATTCAAATCTAAAGATAAATTAATAAAAATAGAGATTAATTTCCATCAAAGAAATTAACAAGAATCGTTAGTAAATATATCTTAATTTGTTGTGGTTATTAGTTCCAAAACAATTTAGTAGTTGAAAGATGATACAATATTATGGGAGTTGGAAAATATAAAAATCAGCAATAATCAATGGATAGTGTCAAAAGGGAGACCAAAATTGCAAACATGGGAGTCAACTTTCGATGTAGGCAATGCAGGGAAGAATCTAAGAAACACGACTTTTATAATTTCAGGTGATGAGTATGAGCAGAGAGGATTTGTGCAATCTGAGTATGAGCTAATAAGAAAATGATTAGAAACAAAGAAAATACCAATAATGATAATTATTTAATTTAAAACAATGAACTGATAGATAAACTCTGGTTAAAGATATTTACTCAGATTGTTTAATCAATGCAATTATTAACAAATAATTATATTAATAAAAACATTATCTCATATATATTATAGTAGTTTTGTATCTCTGAAGGTCTTACTTAGCATTATCTAATCATTTTTTAAAACCTTTTATTTTAGTTAATTTTTTAATGTTCTTAGATATGTATTGATATCAAAAATAAATTTTAAAAAATAAAAAAAATATTATTTTAATACATTAAAATTAAAATCTCAAAAACTCACTACAGATAACACATTATGAAGTGATTCTCATTAACCAAGCATCAGAAGTAACAAGAGGCTCAATTTCATAAATTTCTCCACACATTCTTATCATATACATTGAAAAGATGATAAAAAGAAAAAAGAAAAGAAAAGGAAGGGAGGCTAGGTTTTGATTTAATATGCTTCAGAAGCAAAGATCATGCCTGCCTCGAGCTTCAATTACAAATTCCTGAAAAATGAAAAACATGGAAACCAATAACCAGTGTACTGCAGTTAACGGAGCATTACCCGAAATTCAGAGTCCTCGTTGAAGCCAAACTCAATTGTATTAACTAGTAGCTGTCATTTCACAGGCGATCATCTGCAAGGAGAAATGCCAAACATTTTACAAACTCAACATCTCCGAATGCTGAACAAAAGTAGCAATTTGTTAGAAGGTATACAAAGTAATTGTAAGAGGGCATAAAACAGGTGCAACTGCTATATTTTACACGAGAAACACAGCATGAGAGAAGTTTTAAACATGGAGACTGATTGTTGGCATAGAAATGAAACAGTTTGATTATTCGGTTTTACCAATTACAATATTCAGCTGAAATAAATTCAATAACCACCTTGAATTTTGATCAGTATGGAAAATCACTACCGATCAGCAAATCTGGGGAACCCTCTGCAGGATTCAGTATCAACATGGTTTTATATGGATGAAAATCCAAATAAACTATAACTTCATCCACATAAACTATAACTTCATCCACATAAATTATAACGGAAGGGGAACGAACACAAGTTTTAAGTCTCTGTCCTCACCTGCACGCACGCACGCACGCGCGCGCGCGCGCGCGCGCTCACACACACACACACAACAATATTCCAATAGTCTTGAACTCTTGAAAGACTAAAAAACCACATTACATACAACAGTGTTCATAATGAGTAAAATCAGTGGAGCACAAACCGAGAGTTAAATGGCAACATTTTTCTAGTACTGCTCATTTTCTAGACACTGAGTTCATCTTCAAGATAGTTATACTGAAAAGTGAACTCTGTCTTGATTCTTTGGCACCTGCAAATACAAAAAACGGAGATCATAAGAACCACAAGCAGAGTCAAATTAGGTTGACATGAACCCAATTTTTGATGAAGATGAGATGCATGTATAGAAGGGATATGACAGATCGGACTAGATTGAAAATCAAATGGATAACAAATTCTTAGCTACATTGCCCTATTGAGGATTTAGAAAAGAACATGAAATAATTTCACATAAACTTGTATGTAAATATTAAAATCACTGCAATATACAAGGACGAATAATATAGAAAAAGTTTATATGCCAAGGTTGAAGCATGTTTGTGCAACATTCACCCACATTGCCCTCAACCTAATGAAGTGAACCCCTATAAAAATCTTATATGAAGAAGCAAATTCCTTTTCATCCTGTTATATAATGAAACGATTCTATCTCATCCTCACCTCTTGACAATGAAACAACTCATCCTTACACAAACAATATAATTTGACTACACATACAGTACAAGAGTAAGTCTACACAGAGAAATTGTACTGAAAAATCTTTCTAACACAAAGCATTCAATGCAATGATTTTACAAGTTACATGGCAGTAAATCACTTATACAATATCATATCACTCATCACATCAGTTAATAAGATTTTTATGTATGATTTTCTGTTTGTAAGGAGTTTTCCTACAAAGTTCCACAATAAGGGCAACTACGTCGATAGTTAAAAACAAAATCAGCATACCATCCTGGTTTTTCGTCATTGCCAACATGGAAATCAAAATACACATATGTCCCCTGTTCATATTCATCAGTAGTAACTTTTGGCTCCTCATGCCGTTGAAACCAGGTGTTGTATTTTCTGTGGTATCTCCAAGATTGCCTCTTCAGTTCTTTTGCAGCCAGATATTGCTGATATGTATTCTGCACATAATGATAGGCTTAACATACGACAGAAACCAAAACTACATAACAATGAAACAACAGAGGATGTCACATCACCTGTTGGTAGTAAAAAGCAAAGAACAAGGTGTCAGTGCCAACACTATCCATGCTTAACCGTTCCCAGAATGCAGGATTACTTGCCATTGGTGCCTGAACTTGAGGATAGCTAGGGGGTGTTGCTGCAGGGTGCCTCTGTCCAGACAAGCAAGATACAAATTACTCCATAAACAAGATTTGCCCATAGTTTGAAAGGTGCAATAATATGAATATGATTGCACATCCATACCGGAATATAGCTCCTAGCTCGTTCCGAGTCTTTCGGTTGAGGAAGCTTGTGATATGCAGCATCAAGCATCTCAAAATTGTATGACTGATTATGGATTGCCCCAACATTTACAGCAGAACCATTGATATTATCACCAATTGCACCAAGGTCGGAGACGCTTCTCCGGCCAATAACACCTAGGCTGCTAGATGGTTGACTGGATTGTAGGGGTTGCCCTGGAGAGAGATCTATATCTCTTGGCACTTGTACAGGCTCTGTCAAGGAACCAGATGCTCCAGCCTGCAGCTAAGACATTTAAAACCAACTTTAATCACACTACCTTCAGCATCAAGTTGCACAAACTACCGAACTGTCAACCACAATAAAGTGCTTACAAGAAAATTAATGGAAGAGAATTTCAAAAGGAAAATGCAATGGCTTCATGAAAGAGACCTGGCCCAGCACATTGTGACTTTAGTGAGGCAAATCCACGATAAACGTAGAATCCACACGTTAATTCACAAAAGCTGAATCTGGGACAAGTCATCTCAACATATCAGCCCCTTTACTGGAAAACGGTATAGAAAGAGCAAAACCTTGAATGGAATAAACAAAGCCACCAAAATTAAAAGTTACAAATAAGCCTTCTGTGTGTATGTGTTCGTGCATGTGCGTGAGAAAGAGAATCTCCGTTTGCAAGATAAAATAAACTCATCACTAAAATCATTTCCCATGTTAGTGAATCACACAATAAAAAATAAAAGCTGTACTAGTTAAGAAATTATGATAACAGCTTGCTAATTGCAACCAAGCCTATTTATTGGGGAGCCTGCCCAATCATTGTTTCACAGAGAATCCCTCCCATCCCTGTCCCCACTCTAAAATAAAGTTTGGAGAGGACATGCTGAGGATACACTATCAAAATACAGGGGATTTCAAAGCTTCACAGGCTGAATCATTCTTTCACTGTGCTGATAACAATGATGCCACTATTTTTTCTTTGTGCTTTGTAAATGCTAGATATCAAATTCAAATATAACCAACTATAATAATTCCAATAGATAACATCAGGAAGGGTCCTGTGGGGAAGGTGGTGCTGCAACAGCCCCAAACTTGAAATTATATCTAGGTTAAAAATTCATTCCAACACTTCCAACCAAGGAAATTTAAAATCTATCCTTGATAGAGCAGGATGGTTCGATGCATGTGGAATACTTAAAACACACACACAGAGCAGGCAAGATTAGGAATTATTATACATACAGAAGTATCCATTGCATATGAAGCTGTCAGTTCGTCCTCATTTACAAGACTTTTGCCATGCCCAGATGTAGGGGCAGATTCAGTGGTTGAATCCTCAGGTAAATTCTGCTTTAGCTGCTGCTCCTCAACTGACGGATGGCCAGCCTCTGCACCATTTACTCGTGCCATTAATGCAAGCCAGTTTTATGAAAGCGTTTCCAAATTCCAATCTTGACAAGTTAATTGGAGAATGAAGAATACCTGCATCTTTCGCACTGCTAGACATCACAACTTGCTGACTAGCCTGCTGATGGATGATGGAATTAGGCTGCTGTAAGGCAGCAGATGTAACAGTATTGAAAGCTGCTGCCTGAACTCCAATTCCCAAACTACCTTGAGAGATGGATGAACTCTGAGAATTAAACTGCAAATGTAATCAGATGGCATGCCCAAAAAGTAACAAGGTGTCAAACTATGTCTTTATTCATGGAAGCTGGAAATGCAGAAGAAATAGGATCATGAACAGAATGCAAAACAAAAAAAAAAAAGCTTCTGTGAAGAAAATATAAGCAATTAACCATGGTGATTACAGCCATGATCAAAACAATATTTCAAGCAAATGTATAGCTTATACTACACCTCTGGTTATATTGAAATTAAAGAATCTAAATAAATTCAAAGTCAAAAGACACACATAAAACCTTGTTATCAAGAAACCAGATAGAGAAAGAAAAGAGTGATACTACAAGCAAAATGGATATTTCTCCTGTGAAGGTCACTGGACATGCCAAGTATTCAAGGAACAAATGTGTGGAAATGATATCAGCTGCTATAAAAAAAAGGTTGGTATTAGTTAAATACCATTGCTAATAACTTTCTTTCAACAATTCTATAAGACACTTAGCATTAATGAAATGAGCGTGCAAGTCCACAAAATAGCAAGACTTCCAATTCAAAACTAGCTAACTTTACTTCAAACATGATATTAAAATAATGAAACAACACCTTATTAGCATTTTATTATAGTCTCTGGATAGAAGAGACGGAGATACCTTGGACAAAAGGGACAAGACACAACAGGAGACAGAGATAAAGTTGTGTTTGGTAGTGATGTACAAGACATAATAAATATCTCTGTATTCTGTTTGGTTGATGAGAGATGAGACAAAAGAAAATGTTGAAAATTCTGTTTTACATTTGATATGCATTGTCATCAAACTTGCAATGTTTGAAATAATAAATAGACATTATCATTTTCACTTTAGTTTCTAACTTAAAATGAAAATTTCTCCATCCATCAAAATCATGCTATAAAAAAATTGTAATAATTGTAAAAAAGATAATTCTTTGTTCAAAAGATAATATAATTCAATTATAATTGTTTCATTAAATCATTTTATCAAATATATTTAATAATAAAATAAATAATTAAACAAATTATATGTCAACTAAAATATTGGCACCGACACAAATTTAAAATCTAACATAGTTGGAAACGCAAGATAATAATTTCATCACAAATGCACATTTTTTTTTGTTATTATTCAACTCTCACCTCTTCATCATTAAATCTAATTTCTTTGAGAACACAATCGATTATAATCGATTTTCATTTCTCTACATTATGTATGTTTTAATTATTATATTAAATTTATAAGAATGATATTCATCATGATACTAAGAAATTCATTAGAGGAAAATTCTTCTTATACTTTTTAATATAAATCACTATTTGGTTAATTAATTTTACTCAATTATACATAAAAAAGTAATTTACTCTAATTCATTCATTTTTTAATTGTTAAATATTATTAGATTGTATAAAATAATTTGCTCCCTCTCTCTCTTGTTTATATTTCACATATTTATTACGATTTTTGCTTTTATATTTTCTAGTTTTCAGATCTAATGGTGAAAATTAAGTTAATTAAAATCAATGGTCCAAATCTGAATATTTTAATGGACATTTCTAGAAATTTTTTTATCTTGGTTCATGTCTTTGCCACTGTCCCTTTTTTTAGGAACAAAAAATTAACTAAAAATTGTCCCTGAGACGGACAAAGACCTAATTTTGTCTCTGCCATCAGTAAACATGTTCTTGTCCCTCATATCTATGTCTCTTTTGCTTTAGAACAACAACCAAACATTACCTAAAAGTTCTTTTACTTCTGTTTGCTGACTTGGTCAAAAAAACAAAGGAAAGGATAGGGAATGAGGAATCCTAAAGAAGTAAAAGCACCTGCTGCAAAAGTGGGTTTTGTTGGGTGGGAAACTGCTTATGATTCCCACCGGCAAGAGGTGGCATGCCAAGAATGTTACTGTGACCTTGTTGCTGGACTTGCTGAAGACGCTGTAAGAATTTCTCCCTCTGATCAGGAGCTATTTCAGTTCTTGCACGAAATTGGCCCTACAGAAGAAATATTGTTACGTTAAAACAAAATGGCGATAAGTTTTGGCAATATTTCTTAATAAAAAAACCCATTAAGTGAACTTAAGGAACAATTAAATCAACATGTTCTGACATGGACAATTCAAGTCAAGAAGCTAATTCTAAAACATTTGTCTATCAAGTAAAACCACATGCAGCAAATATTAAAAAATGTAAGCGAGTTATTGAAATATTTCTCATTGAAGGTTTACTCATCCAGATTCCCTCACTCTTCCCCTCTACTTTTTCTCTTATTTCCAGTTCTTTACCTTTACCACCACCAGTTAGCATGGTATGACGTTTCTTTTCACCCTCTTCTTTTCTGAAGAAAAAACAACTCATCTCTTGGCTGTTTAGCAAAATAAAGCATATACAAAATGCATAACAGTGCAGTCACCATTGAAACATAGTTATATAAGAGGGAGGTTTTATTGCATTTATTTTCTTCATATGATTAAGCATCTTATATATACAACTATTATATACTGGTCCATCACCAATACCCTCACTAGAAAGGACTAAAGCCACATTGTACGAAGAATTTCAGGTGAAGTGTATCTTATAGCATTTTCCATTGGATCGTTATCTTATCATGCGCGTATTCTTTTAGTTGACTAGCCACACATCATATTAGTTGTAGCTTGCATGAATAAAAAATCACCCATTACACAATTAAGTTATTATATACTATTAATGTTAGTGGTTATTAACATAGACATTCAATTTAACGAGTTTAGACTATGATAGATATATAATCCAGTGATAATGTAAAAAGACATTCATCTTCCAAAGAGGATGGGTGAACAAAACATTTCCATCACTTGCTAAACCAAAACTTGTATCAAATATGCTTTGCAAATTGAAATTTTGAATTTTCAATAGCATTTCTAATATCCTTTTTTTGGGCCCATTAGTGAAACAGGTCTTAACAAACACCTTGAGCCTCCATTACCCTTGGAGGGTGGCAACCACTCATTGCAACAAGGAGGCAACCAGAATCAAGACCAGATAACAGCAATTAGCATTTCCGCTAATAGCTTAATTGAAGTCACATACTAAGGTGGTATAATAAATGGATCTAGCATGCTACTCCATGTATGCTAAAAAATTGAAGTTGAATATTTTCAATCATGTTTCCAAAAATCTCATTTTTTGGCCCACCCAATAAACACAGTTTAATTACAACTTGAGCCACAATTCGACTTGGAGGATGATGACCATCCCGGATAAAAGCCATTGACATTAGTGCCCACAAAATAAAGTTTCTTGATGCTTGGTTATGTTGAAAGGGGGGAAGCTGGATGGGTACTTCATGTCTGGACTTCTCATTGACAAATGGGGCTTTATACGGTAAAATTTTTCAAAAACCAAGATATCCTCTAAAATAAAGAACACACAAACACACACTTGCACCCCTATGTTGTTACAAAAATCAACAAGGAAGACAAACAAAATGTTAAAACAAGTGGCATACCGGTTCATTCTGATTTTGAAAGGAACTCCCAGGTCTCCATTGCATGCCAGTGACCAAAGGAGAGAAAACTCTGCCACTCAGAGTAGCAGCATCACCAGCAATGCTAGAATCAACCGCACCAGTTCCATCACTTGCCTTGCTAGCATGAGGCAAGATCATTCGGTTACTTAGTGGAGAAGCCGAGGGCTGCACCATTCCACCACTCCCAAGTCTATCGTCAGTTCCCAAAACATTTCTCTTTGCAATGTCAGAAGCTGAAGGTACTGAACCAAGAGCTCCATTACTAGGAATTACACCAGGACTGAGGGAGATACTAGATGAGGGCTGGCTAGAGAGGCCACCTCTACCAATGCCCCTTGCTAGTCCAGTATCAACAAGAGAAGGTGATGATGATCTATGGCCAGGGAAGCCAATTTCTTCATCCTTTGCAGAATTGGCAGCATTGGTCAGGGTTACATGAGAAGGATTAGCAGAAGCAGCATTTTCCAAGACACCTCGAACAGAAGATGAACCAGGAAGAGTGGGAGAAACTGCTAAAAGACTAGGCAATGTCTGAACCTGAACATTCACAGAAATAGGTGCATGGTTCCCAGTTGGTGTTGATGCAGCTGAAGAACCAACCATACCACTTTTGGCAGGAGAATTACTATCTAGTGAAGCAGTATCATTGGCTTGCTCTTGACCAACAACACTCTGATGAGGCGGAGATGCAACAGTGGCCTGGAAAGAAAATTATCATTCCGTAGGTGTAGCAACAATGTTAGGACAAAGCACATAGCTGAAAAGCATTTAAGGAATTAATAAGTGCAGATGTTAGAAATGGTAAATTCCAGGTCTTTTATGAATGCAAAATACAATAAAAGTGGTCCACAACGTGAGAAAAGGTTTTTTGTTAGCTCTTAAAGATACATGGTATATATAAACCCCACCCCCAAAAAAAAAATATTAAAAAAATCAAGACGACAAAAACAATCACAAGTCATGTTGAAAGAACAATAACTATTTAGCAATAACCCTTGGTAAGTAACAACTTCGACCAAACAAACTAATATAAAAACTTATTAAACCAAATAGAAATATAAACATCTAACTATATTATGTCAAATAAAAGAGTTAGAAGAGCCAAAAGGAAAAGTAATGTACATTACATGCAACTTTCACATATCTTTCATCACTTCAAAATAAAATAGGAATCAAACATGTCATATGTGGAAGCCTAGCATCATAGGTCCATCTAAATCTTAAAGCATGATATAGCGAAAAACTCCCTTGGCAAATAATCAAAGTCAAAATGCATCAACAATGTCCCGTGCAGGTCACTGAATCAGCACGGTACAACTGAACCAAGTCTTGCAGCTTGCTACAACAAAACATGAGAAAACAACCTCTCTAAAAATAAAGAGCTCTCAATGGAATGCTTAAATGACACCACTAATATATATAAGATCCATCATGACTTTAAAATCTAAATCAGAATAAAAGTCCCAGATAGTGTGTAAACATACAGGTGTTTGGGGAGCCTGAGGAGCCGTTATTCCCAAAGAAGTCTTCAAGACTTGAGCAGGAGCACCCTGCAGAGAAAAAAACAATAAATTTACAATAAAACTGACCAAAAGAAACACCAACACAAAAAAAAAGGACAAAATATGTATTAACTAAACATTTTCTTTAAAAGGCTGAGATTATTTTTCCATCTCATGTTAGAAAGAAGAGAACAAGCACACCCACAAATACAAAAGACAACTGCATTCCCATCTCTAAATGGCAAAATAATTAGAAGTAAAGTCTGCAGCCAATAAATTTTACCTTCCCAAGACCAGGAGGACCAATTATAACCAGGTCTTCAAGAGACTCCAAGTTGTCTAATGGTAATGAGTTGTACAGCTCATCAACATCACTAAAATCATCAAAATCTTCCTACAAAGAAGACAACAAGCAAATTGATAATTAAGGTGACATAAAACAAAGCATATGAGCACACTATCCCATCAAGAATACTGGAATGAAATGAAAATATACAGGTTATCATGGGAAAATCCACTAAGACAACGCATGATGCCTCTTACAATAAGGGTGATAAAAACACACACAAACACACAAACCTGATTACGTTCCACATAGTCATCCAGGAAGTCTTTAACATCATTAACCTCCTCGGGACTCAATTCATCATTGTCTAGTAGCCTCAAGATCAACTCTAATTTCTTTATATGAAGTTTATGCCGTGTGATGGATGCCTCTAAATGTGTCTGCCAGACAAAAGGGATAAAATAAAAATTATAAAAGGAAGGATGTATTGATTCTAAAAACCGCATTTCCTTTTGTGTCCTACCAGTCTGGGTGGCCTTGTCTTTCCTTTCTTGACAGTGAGCCCCTCAATCTCAGCTTCAAAGGCATCAATCTGAGATTCCAGTTCCCCAACCTACTCAAGGTAAAAGCTAGTTAAAACACCACTGATGAAATGAGAATTCATAAAGCAGCAAACTGACATAACACAGCAATTTTCAAAAATAGTTGGCAAAAAAATGTTTTAGGACTGAATTAGGAATGTCTTGAAAGGAAAACAACTGATTTTTGCAGTTTTACTATTTTAAATGCTATCAGATCAATCTACAAGCCATCAAGCATTTTTAACTTAGATAGTTCTTCCAAATCATTGAAATTTTTTTTCTGGGATAAGTATAAGGCTTTGGATATTAATTAGCACACAAAACCAACCAGCTGCTAATGCCCATGCAGTAGGACCAAAGAGGACAAGTCAATAAAAAGTCACAGTGAAAGATTTTACAATACCAGCCCTAAGAAACGAAATTTGAAAGGTCATGACTGTATTATTTTACATACACTCTTAAGTCACTGTAGATAATAACAAAGCAAATCAAACAGCTTACTCACATACCACATTATTCAACCAATCCCTTGTTTCTGATTTAGCTTTCTCCTTTGGATCCTACAAAAAAGATCAGCATACTAAGCAACTCTGATCGAAAAAGTCAAGCGATCGTGGAAAGAAAAAATATTTTACATTTTTAAATTAGTTTTTTGAAGTTATGAACATTAAAAATATGGAATACAAACAAAACCCCAAAAGACAATTTTAAGAAATGAAACATACAACAACAAAGCCTTAAAACCAAAACAACAAACATGCTAAGAACTGAGATTTTGCCCTGCTGCTTCACTATTCATAGCTCCCCATTTTTTTTTTCATTTTTCTCCTTTTTTTCATTTCATCCTCGTACTGTTTTTTTCATTTCATCTTTTGTGACCTAATTCAATGAGATAGAGTTTTCAATTATAATAGCAAGACAAAATTAAAAGATTGAAGATCACAATGAACATCAAATGCATGGGACAAAATCAAAGTTTTAAGAATTTTCATTTTGGTTCAAAAGTTCATTTTTCAATTCCCAGGTTTGAGAGAAAAGCGGCAAAGTTGTTAGAAAATACCAGAGGAGAAAGAGTTGTTGGTTAGCCCTATACACTAACAAAAATAGTAGATCATGGTGTCAATAAGTTCTATTTGACTAGAGGAGTACAATAGTAGTTGTTTTTTTCCTTATAAACATGCCTGAAAAAGTAGACCGCGATCTGTTCATATATTTTTTATTTCGTTGGTTTTTGTTTTTATAGTGATTTTGGGGTGCTTTGAGGTTGGTAAGTGTTCAATTGAGGTTTTCATGGTATTTTTAAGGTGTTTTCAACTAAAAACGACTTGAAAATGGGTTTATAAGGTCCAAAAACTTAGACCTTGGTTTTTGAATCACCAAATGCCCTACAACTGCAGGTGACCTCTTGCACAGCTTAAAACAAAGAAAATAAAATAAAATAAAAAAGGAGCAAACAACTCCTGAGAAAAAAACAACACGTGGGCCAGAGCTTCCATGCCTAGACGTGCTAGGGCTTTTTTCTTAAGGCTTAGCACCTAGCCTTTTTTTTTTTACTTCGATTATTTTTTGAAAAAAATACTTAATTAATACCCTGCCTATTTTTTACTTTACATTAACTGTTTATTTAAATTTCAATTAATACCCTTTCTCTGAATTTTCAAATTTTTTAATTCAACTTTTTTAAATATTATTTATTTTTAAAAAATTATTTTATTTTTTAAAGGTTTTAAAGAGATTATTATAATTTATCTTTAATTTTTTTCCTTTATATTTGATATAAATAAATTTTATTTGCATGATGTATTTATAAAAATAAAAATCATAGGTAAGAAAAAACAACCACTAAGAAAAAAAAAGCACAAAAAGTTTTAAAAAAAATTGGAGATAAATATTTGCATACTTACCTTTCTTTTGCTTTTAGAGGAAATATCAGCTTTCCATTAAAGTATTTAATTAGATTAACAACTCTTTCACAATTTATCGATTCACATATATTTTTTAATTTATTTCATTAAGCGTAAATAGCATCTTTGCATTTCTTAATTAAAAAAATTCATGATATAATAAAACACATGTAGCATTAACATATTCTTCTATTATGTAAAAAATTAACTTGGAATTCTAAACACAGCATAGCACAGGTTTTAACACTAGTGACAACTAATTAGCATTCCTCCAAAAAATTCAGAGAGCAAAAAACGAGAAAAGAAAAGGGCATGCTGTCAATGATGCCCATTGATAGCTCAACATCATTTAAATTGTGCTACTTCTGCAAGTCTGTAAGTGTAAGAAACTGAGAGGGAAAAAGGACATATTTAAGCATATAACAAACAATAAAAAGCACCAAATTTGTAAGCCAGGCAAGAGAGGTGAATAAGGAACCCTTTAACAGGCTTCACCGGATGGAAAAGGTACTAGCAGTCAAGGCACATTACATCATCATCATACATAGGGATTACCTCACAGAGTAATGTGGTTCCATGTAATCACATCAACTGCTCCCAAGGAATCAATCTTATGGTTTATTCAGCCTCAAATTTACCACTCATTTGACTGATTTGATTCAGGATTAAGCATAAAATAAGGTAGTATAAGTATGCAATGCTTACAGTTTTGGGTTGTTGGCCCAAACCTTCTTTGGAAAATGCTTTTGTCTTTGTTTCCTTCTCGCATATCTTAAATCTTTCCATTTCTTTCTCAATAGTCTTCCGAGCATCCACTAGAGCCTGCTCGTAAGATGCACTAACCTACAAAATGAGTCAAAAGGCAAGCAAGATCAACCTCAGCTTCAACAATATTGTCAATCATACATCACAAGGAAGAAGATGCCATCATATGTCACAGAAACAAATAACCATTTTATCATGGAAAATAACCGCATCGCTGGCTTAATATCCTCAAAACTATAGATAAGATAGCAACACAAAGCCTAAATGATTCAAACACAATAACCAGAAATAAAGAATGAAGAGGAATGACCTTCTTATCCTTGATCTCACTGGATTGAATCCATGTCTTGATTTGGTCCCTATATCTCTGCAGTTTCTTGATTTCCTTCTTCAAGTCTGCCTCAAACTTCTCCTTTTGATTCGCATTATCTGTATCATAAACCTGGAAACAAAAATAACGCAGTCATAAGCATCTGAATTTGACCAAATAAACAAACAAACCAAAATAAAATATTATAAAATTAAAATACAGCTACGGGTGCAAGAAAACTCCATCAAGCAAAGAATTATATATCACTAAATTGCATCAAGAAATCAAATAAAAATAACAAAAACATTTGAAAAATTTACCATTTTCTCAACGATATGCAAAACTAGGGATTTTTTAATTCTAATTCATTATCATTAGAGAAACTGGAGAGAAACTTTCACAAATGAAATCACAGCATTAACAAACTAACAGTTAAAAATCCATCCGCACAATAAAAAAAATAAAAAAAACATAACCCATTTAAATGAAAAGAAAAGAAAATGAAATTCCGCCAGCAATCACTTTCCTTCCTTTTCTCAGCAAACAAACACACCAGGAAAAAAAAAACTGAAAAATTACTTCTCAAATTGATTTCCACTTCTTGGCAACTAAAACAATAAAAAGGTAAAAAACAAAACAAATAAAAAATAAAAAAATTGTAAAAATAGATACAAAGGACAGAAGAGGAGGGTAGTTAGCTAGTGACCTTGTTCCAGATACTATCAAAAACGTCGACTCCTTCTTGAACTTTCTTGAGAACGCGATCGATCTCGCCTTGTAGCTTGCGACTTGCTCCCATTCTACTGCAATCTGATCACTTTCGGGTCAGTTGCTGCTGTCTTTGCTTTTACTATCATTCAATTTTATTTCGAAAATGAGGAATTGAGTATCTGTTCGCGTGCTTTATTTTTAGGGTTTTTTTTTCCCTTCTGCTATGCTGTGCTGGTTGAGGTGAGGGAATATTGTCGGAATGGTTTTTTAAAGTGTTTTTTTTTTAAAAAAAAATATTAAAATAAATTATTTTATTTTTTGAAAATTATGATATTAAAATTTTTAAATATTTTTAAATATAAAAAATATTAATTTAAAGTAAAAAAATTAAATATTAAATATTTTTAAAAAATAAAAATAAATAATAACAAAAAAAAATGAAAGAGATGGGAAAGAAAAGATGAATTTTAGCCATGGGCTGTGATTTTCTATTTTATGGGCTGGGTTTTTTTGGATTGTTGTAGCCGGTATCACTACATATTACATTATATTATAATTACAATTCCATTTATCACTATTAATATTAATATTTTAAAAAAAATATGTATTTTTTTCTTTTTAACAGTTTGGTCTCTAAAATTTGGAGATTTTTCAACTTGATCACTTCACTTTATTGTTTTTAATCTGCATCCTTTAATCTTGTGTTTTAGTTGTTTTATAAGCTTGAATTTATTTCTTTTCCTTAATTTGTATTTAAATATCATGTTGTCATCCAGTTTTATAATACAATTTTAGTTTTTTTTTATGAAACTAAATTAAGAGATAGAGGACAAAAATTAACACAAAAAAAAATAAAAACAATGTTTTATTTGACCCTAAAGTTTTAAATTTTTTTCATCCTTGTTATTTTGTATTATTACTTTTTAGTCATCTTCCTAGAAGTTTAAAAAGAAGTTTAAAAAGGAGAGAGAATATCATAAGAAAAATTTAAGAGAGAGAAATTTATTGAATAACTGAATTTCAAACTTTGATTTAAGCGTTTATATATTCAACTTTAAGTGAGAAATTCGATGAAGGTGGTTTATATTTTTAATAATGGCATTAATAATAAATTAGTTATGTGAAAATTTTTTTAGTTTTCCTTTTATTTTGAGTTTCTAAACGAATTAAAATGTTTTTTTTGTGTTAGAAATGAAGATTTAGATGTTTACAAGAATTTTTTCCATATTTTTGGTGAAAAAATGGTTAAATTTTATTTTTTAAGGTCCAAAATATTAGACTTTAATTTTATTGTTATTGGAGACAAGTATGGTAGCTAGAAATTAAACCAGGTAATAAAATTTGTCGTTTTAAAAAACAAGCAAATGATCCATAACTTACCTAATTTATATATATAAAAAAAATATTTTGGCCTGTTATGTTAGGCCGACAAGCACTGGCTTCTGTTTTCCAGAGTTAGGTGTGTGAGTTTGGCCTTTTCAAGGCCTAATTTATCATTTAAAAAAAATCATAATAAAATGCTTTTTTAGTTAAAAGGGATAGGTTAAAAAAATTTGATTACGATTTTACTTTCTTGTTGTACTTTGAAAAATTGCATTTTACATTCAAGTTCAAACAAAAATTTCAAAAATAATTAAAAAATGATATTACCCTTATATATAATTTATGAGAAAAAGACACATTATTCAACACGCTCTCTGTTTCTCTAATCCATATGCATGTCCCCCTAAAATTCATGATCTCTTTATCTAAAACCTTAGAAATCTAATTTGAAAATCTAGAAATTATATAATTAAATTGACTAGTGACAATATTTCATATGTAATTCATCCATCATTGTTTATGGAACTCAATAAAGTAGGCAATAACTTTTTTGTTTAGAAGTTAATAACCTTTACAAGGTACATAACACTTGTTTTCTCTAATTGGAAAATAAAAAGTGATTTTAGTATGTTTAGATGTTAAGAAATTATGGGTTTTTTCCATTAAAATATCATGTGTTTGTATCTCGAATGAACAAAAAAATATTAGATATTTATTTATTATTGAAAAATAATCTTAAAAACCTAAAAAATCCAAATGTTGGTGGTTGAATTGAGTAAAATTCAAGGAGACTTTAATTAACCATTGTTTATACTAATTAGACATGTGTAATTGGAAATAATTAAAAACCTTTAATTTTAGAATTAGGGTTACTATTTATAAAACCCAAATTAGGGGTTATAACATTGTTAATAAGCTTATTAAAACCTTTAATAAGGTTTATTTAATTATATTAATGATTACCTAACTAATTAGGTATGCATAATATGTATTGAGTTATAACAAGTTTGTGTAGCTTGTTAATATAAATTTATTATGCTTGTGGTTGGTTGACCTTTCTTTTCTTTTCTATTTTTCTTTATTTAGTTTTATAATCTTGCCATGTCAAATTATACCCACCATTTGAGGTATAGGCTGCTAATATTTCATTAGTCATGTTTGTGTGGTCTATTAGCTAGCACGAGCGCCCATAAACACACACATATATATAATGCCGAATATATTTGCAATTCAACTTATAGAAAGATATTATTGTATTAATTATATGTTTTATATAGAGATATAATTTATATACAAACTTCTGATGTAGATTTAAAGGAATTTAAATTTACATATGACAAAAGTAATAGAATTTCTAATGACATCTTGATAGTATATGTATTTAGTGTGTATAAAGGTAAAGATAATATTCATCTATATATTGATGCTAATTCTTGTCATAACACAATTTTGATCCTCTAAATTTGTTTTATGTAAAAAATATACATTTTTTTCTTTGAAATATTCTAAAATCCAAAAAAAATCATAAATTCAAAATTCAAAAATATTTTCAAGTCATAAATAGATGAGTTTTAAAGTTACAAATAGGTCAAAACATTATATGGACATTCATATTGGTATATTATTAATATAATAGGTTGAATAAGGACTTAATTGAAGCAAAAATAAGTTTGAAAGTCAATTCAACCAAAATTGGAAGAACTTATTAAGTCCAAAGGCTTAATTAAACTTTTAATAGGTTTAATTGATTTGTTTAAGGATTTAATTAAAGCAAAATTAAGTTTGAAAGTCAATTTAGCTAAAATTAAAAGAATTAATAAAGTTTAAGGGTTTAATTAAACTTCTAATGGGTTTAATTAATTTGATTAAGGATTTAATTGAAGAAAATTTAAATTTAAAGGCCTAATTCAGATCAATTCAAAAAATAAAAAGATCAATGATATAATTGAATTTGTAAAAGCCTAATTAGCACAATCAGGGGTTTAATTAAAAGAAATTTAAATTTTGAATATTGATTTGGAGATTAAATAGAAGAATTTCAAAATCAAGGATCAATGTGCAATGGGCTTGCACATTCAAGGATTAAAATTGATCAAATCTTTGCAAACATTGGTCAAATTGTATAATATAGAAACTAAAGACTATGTTGTAAAAGGTGCTCAGGTTAAAGGATTCTAACCAATATTTGCAAGGATCCAATTACAATAATTAAAAGAGTTTAATTGGGGATATAAACGCTGAAATTAGAAAAATAAGGGTCAAATTAAAAATTAATAAAACCCAATTAGAAACCTTAATTTTTAGGGTTTAGTAACGAGTTACAAGTCTTTCAAACTTAAATGAAGGAATCAAGTAACGTGTCGTTTAGTCATTGTTCTTTTTTTTTTCTTCACCCAAAAAGCTAATTGAAAAGTCATCTTCAGATGAATAAATGCATCATCTTCAACCACTTTAATGGATGTAATTGGCACCAAACGACTAAGAAATACCGCATCTATAAAGCCACTCACATAAAATATTTATACCATATTTGGCTCGATGAAATTGACAATATCCTATGCTTGAATAGCCTTTTTTGCGTTGAAAGATTTAAGTTGATTGATGACTAACCTTCCAAATCAATGGATATAGAGCTATAGAGTTCTAACTCAAGTGTGGTATGATTTTAATAATAGACTTGTATCCATTCTACATGATTTAGGTCTATAAATGGTGTATTGACATCCCAAACTTCATAATGGTTTCTTCAAATTACTCTACCCAGTCAACTTAGATTGAAAAAGAAAAACATCCATAAATGAATTAGTGTGGAAGTTATTTCTTTGACGGAGATTCAATTTAAAAGGAAAGAAAAATACCATAACCTTAATAAATATATTATATAAGATAGATATAGAGGATAACCAACTAGCTTCTAAGAAAAACTATCATGGTTTTGTAACCTCCTAGTATAGCTTAAATTATAAAAGGAAATTACTAAGAGAATTAAAGAGAAATACCATAGATTTTTATAATAAAATACTAAAAAAAAATGTTCAAATATGTAATAAAAGAAAAACAAATAAGAACTTGCGAATCAAGGATTAGAAACTGAAAAAACTAAGGATCTAGAGCTTGAAGAAGGAGCAAGAAGTCCCAAACCAAAAGGTATTATCGATTGAAAAAGACATACCTTAAATTTTGATGAAATGATGTAGCTCAAAAAGCACACCTCTCATTTAATTTCTGTTGTATTGTGATTGTTAAATTTTTAGTTATGATGATTATTATGAATTTTAAATGCAATGAATATATTTTGTTTGTTTTTTATAAGGCAAATTTAGTTGTTAAAGAAAATAATACGTATGATTCTAAAATAGTAAGCTCAAGGTGTATGAATTCATGTTTGATGTTGTTATAATCATTTTTATGTTAGTTGATTATTATAAGGTCAACAATTGTAACATCCCTTTTACTAAAACCAATGCATCAACCTTAAAAAAGAAACGTGGTAATTTTTCTTTTCTCTTTATTGAACTCATACACAATTTATTGAAATTTCTATTAAAATTTCGGAAGAGTTTCCCCTATGCCAGAAGGTCCCAAGTTATTGACAAATCATTTGTACACAACCTTTTTTTATTGTTTATACGCAATTCAATCATTCTAAGTCTTAAACTATAAAGATAAAATTCATATAATTATCAAGTTATAAAAATGAGAAAAGTCCTAGAATTTAAGAGGTAACCATTAATTAAATTGCATAATAAAGATTTTAAATTTCAATTTACTATTTATAGTTTTAATAAAAATAACACTAATAACTTTAAACATACAATTTAGGAATATTATTATATACAACCCAAAGTGAAAAATTCTTCCATCTTCCTATTAACTTAAGTGACACATAGAAGGAACATCCAAATATCAACTAAGGGTTAAT